TATATATTATATATATATATATATATAATATATATATATATATATATTATATAATTTATTTTTAAGTTAAACTACATGAAAATGAGAAATGTTGTCATATATAACTAGCTGAAATAAGTTTATACATGTATACTGTATATATATCACACACACACCATATTTTTATGGTTTTTATTTTGTTTTAGTTGACTATAATAATCCCGATTAATAAATAAACATAGTTATAAATGTGTCAGATGGTATGTACCTTCAGTATATGCAAGCTAAAAGTACTGTATAATAAAGTAGGCCTATATAATATAAGTATATATAAATATTTTAACCTCTTCTCTAGTCTAAACAAGCCTTTATCAAAACAAAGCATATTGCTATTTTTATATATTTTAACTTGTTCTGACTTTCTCAATCTGCGTACGGTACGTGGCAGTACATGGTACAAGGGCATAATAAGTTTTAGTATGTTGAAAATAATATGCCAAAGGAAGAGTTTACCCAAAAAATGAAAATTTGCCATCCAAGGTATAGATGAGCTTGTTTCTTCATTGAAACAAATTTGGAGAAAAGTAGCATTCCATCACTTGTTCACCAATGGATCCTCTGCAGTGAATGGGTGCCGTCAGAATGAGAGTCCAAAAGTGGCCAAAGTACCATAATCCATAATAAGACATAACTGATATTTGTTAATTGATATTTATAATATTACAAAATATTTATATTCCAAATAAATGCTGCTCTTCTGAACTTTCTATTTATCAAAGGATCCTGAAAAAAATTAATTAGTTTATACAACAACAAAAAAAAAAGTGTATATATATACAGTGGGTACGGAAAGTATTCAGACCCCCTTAAATTTTTCACTCTTTGTTATATTGCAGCCATTTGCTAAAATCATTTAAGTTAATTTTTTTTCCTCATTAATGTACACACAGCACCCCATATTGACAGAAAAACACAGAATTGTTGACATCTTTGCAGATTTATTAAAAAAGAAAAACTGAAAAATGCTCAGTATTTAGTAGAAGCACCCATTTGATCTAAT